AATTTGATCCAAAAAAAAAAAAAGCATACCGTAATAGCATTCTCGAGATTTGTGAGCAGCAACTCCTGGTAACCTGACACGGTCATGCTTCTCCTCACCGGCAACAAGTAGAAGTTGTACAGCATGTCATTTGTCCCGGCACCCACCAAAAAGACGGCATTCCCCACGATCCGGCCCGCCTCCTCCTGGCCCACAGCATTCGTTATCCGGCCCACGGCCCGCTGGAAGTACCCCAGCTGGGCATTCATGGTCAACACGTGGGCCTCAGCCGCCGTCAGGTCGTCCAGGCCCATGCCAGCTGAGGCAAAGCTGGCGCCCGTCAACAGGCCCAAATCAGTTAGGGCCCGGTCCAGGTAGGCCGGGAGCAGATCCTTGATGCCCAGGTGGTCCACGATAAGGTCCGTGGGGAGCTTCCCGTCAGAAAATCTACCGGTGGGGACACGGCCCGGGAAGTCGAGGCCGTAGGGCGGGTGGTTTGATCGGAATACGGTGGGGATATGGTTGTTGTTTCCAGGGTCGAGTATGGAGTCTCCAAAAGCAAAGACGGCAGTTATGTTCGGGCTGGCCAAGGCCGGGCCGGGCTGGAGAAGAAGGGTTGTGGTGAGGGAGAGGATTGTGAGGAGGTGAATATAGTAGTTTTTTAAGGCCATTGTTTTTTTGTTAGTAATAGTTTTTGTGTGAGATTGGTACGAATTATGTGAGTGTAAGAGGGGTATACCGTATATGTGTATATACTTGTGTTAGTACGTGGCTATATGTGTGTATGAGTTTGAGGTGTAATCGGTTTCGATTTTGACTTTTGTGTACTAGGATTTGTACAATGTATAAATAAAAGTTCAAATGGGATTTGGTGAGCTTTGGGTTGAGCTAGGTTGAATGGATTATTTCAAGAATATATATATAAATAAAATTAATTAATCTTTTCCATGTGTGTTTCTTAATTCCAAAAATATATAAGTAAAATTATTTAAGCTTTTTTCATGTGTGTTTCCAACGTCCGATGCTTATATGTCAAGCTCTTCGAATCAGTTCATTCAACTTGCTATAGAGGTTTCAACAAGACACATTGACTCCAATTTTTCTATTACAAATTTAGTGAATTTTGATTATTTTATCACACACTTTATTAGTATTTAGTACTATAGATTAGTCCTTCCTTTACATAACTTCAAAAAATAAATATAAAATATAATGAAAAATGGAGACTGCGTATGAATGTCAAAATTAACGTGTTCTCGTAACTTGTTCGTATATCAATATTTTTTTGTGTTATATATTTTATTTGATTATAAATGTGACAATAAGTCAAAATTTTACTAATTTTATTTAATTATTTGTGATACTACCAGGTATTTGTCGTATCATTTGGATCTATTGGTGATATTACATAGTTAGGATTCTATTAGTGACATTGTAGTCAGGGTTAATCATGTAATTAGTTAGCCTGACTTAGTTGGTTAGTAAAGTTGTTACAGCTGTCAATAGCTAGTTAAGAGCTTTCCATTTACGCACATATATAATTGTAAAACTGTTATCAAAATAATCAATACAGAATTACATTTTCCATTCTATATTCTCTTGTTCATCTATCATGGTATCAAGAGCCAATTTTTTCTTCTCTTTCTGATTGAATTTTTTTTTCTATGGCCGATCTCCGCCCATTACTGCCGGCGTCGAGTTCGCTGCCGCACTTAACTCCTCTTCCGCTTTGTTTGGATCGCTCCAATTTCTCGTTCTGGAAAGCTCAGATTCTCTCCACTGTTCGTGCCCATGGATTTGAAGATTTTTTGCTTGATTCTACTTCGCCGTCAAAGTTTCTGCCAACTGCCGGTGATTCATCTCTGCCGACGCTCAATTCAGCATATACCTTGTGGATGCGCACAGATCAGCTTCTCCTCAGCTGGATGTTAGCTTCGATCTCCGAATTTATGCTTGGTCATCTTACCCGGTGTTCCACCTCCGCTTGGTTTAACAAAATCAAAGGTTTTTTGACTACTCTTAAGTTCAAGGAGTCTGTCTCTGATTCTTCACTGTTTTATCAAAAAGTCAATGGATCTTTACTATTGGTCTTAATCTATGTAGATGATATTCTCATCACTGGGGATGATTCTACTGATGTTCAACACCTAATTGATACTCTTGGTAAGAAATTTGCTTTAAGAACTATGGGTGATGTAAACCATTTTCTTGGTTTTGAAGCTCTTCAAACTTCTGAGGGATTTGTCTTGAACCAAGCCAAATATGCACTGGACATTCTTGTTAAAACAGGCATGGTACATAGCAAACCTTTTTCAACACCAATTTCTCCTTCTCACAAGCTTCATCTTCAAGATAGTGCTCCCTTTTTCAATATTACACTATACAGAAGTGTCATTGGTGCTCTTCAATATCTTATAATGACCAGACCTGACATCTCTTTTGATGTAAATAAACTCAGTCAATTTCTTCATGCTCCTACTTTACACCATTGGCTTGCTTGCAAACACCTTCTCAAATACATAAAAGGTACTCTTACTGTTGGTCTTCAGTTCAAACCTGTGCAAAGGTTCACCTTAGAGGCTTATACTGATGCTGATTGGGCCAGCTGTATGGATGATAGAAGATCTACTGGTGGACACTTCATTTTCTTAGGCCCAAACCTTCTCAGTTGGAGTTCCAAGAAGCAACAAGTGGTTTCTCGCAGCAGTGCGGAGTCAGAGTATAGGTGTCTTGCCACAGCCACCTCTGATTTACTTTGGATGCAATCCATTTTCAATGAACTTGGGCTGTTTTTTGTACCTCCTTCTGTTTTATGGTGTGATAATGTGAGTGCTGCCGCACTTGCCTCAAATCCGGTCCAGCATGCCCGTACCAAACACATTGAAATAGATGTGCATTTTGTTCGTGAAAAGGTCGCGGTAAAAGTTGTTGAAGTTTGCTAAGTCCCTTCAAACTTGCAGTTGGCTGATCTATTAACTAAGCCATTCTCTTCGGGACGGTTTCACTTACTTTGTTCACAGTTGCCCCTGCGTGCTAAGGTCAATGCATCTCCTGGTTCGGTTTCACGGGGGTGTATTGGTGATATTACATAGTTAGGATTCTATTAGTGACATTGTAGTCAGGGTTAATCATGTAATTAGTTACCTGACTTAGTTGGTTAGTAAAGTTGTTACAGCTGTCAATAGCTAGTTAAGAGCTTTTCATTTACGCACATATATAATTGTAAAACTGTTATCAAAATAATCAATACAGAATTACATTTTCCATTCTATGTTCTCTTGTTCATCTATCAGGATCTATTATCATACTTTGTAACAATATTGTGTTAGTGTTCGTGTTTCCTATAAGAGAGCAGAAAGAAAAGATCAGCCATGGAAGAGCAAAAGTGCATGTCCAACCGGGAGCTGAGATGAGTGTCGGCCGCTTCGAGGAACGAGTAAGGTCCAACTTCAATTTGGGCCTAAAGAGAATCTTGAAGTGTAGCCCAATTATGTTGGATAAACTACTAGGCCTTTTTGTTTAATAGATATTTATTGGAGGAAATTGCATGAAATGTGCTTGTGCCATATATAACCATTTCGCTCTTATCTCCTAGGCCGTCCACAACCACACTGAAGACCCAAATGGATATCCAACTAATACCGACCTTTTTATCTAATCTTCATTGGGAGAGCCTGGGCAAGCCCTGTTTCAAGATGGCCCTTTCCCACTCCCCAAGAGGCGAGTCATTGCCAGCCCAAAAAAGGAGCCCAATGGTGCCGGCCCATGAATAAATTCCCGCAGTACTTGATTAATATATGGTTCACGGATCAAGTCTTCAAGCAAGCTGCACAGAGAAGAGGGGTAGAATTGTAATAACAATGAAAAATGTCATAGACCAAAACCAATTTTAGTCAAGCCACTGTTTGTTTGTTCACTGAGTAACAACACAAGCTACCGAAAAAAGGCCCTGCCAAAGATCAACCCATTGCCAATGCCATTGTGTGGTGGGCCCCCATTGATTTCATATCATAATGTGGGCCGGCTGCATATGTATAACTGGCGTGGGAAAAAATAAACACACTGTATATTGGAAAAGCACGATTTATTAAAAATATGCCTTATCCTTCTTGTCTAATTGCTCAAAAGAATAGATGAGAATGTTATTGTATAAGGCACAGGTTAGGTATATATAATTATATATATATATATATATATATATATTTAAATATAAAATGTATGATATAAAGTTTCAAAGCGAGATTGTATTCAGAGTTACACAAATCATGTTGTTAGATAATCGATAGGCAATCATACTTTCTTAAAAAAATATGTATACTTATACTATTACATGTCATATTTGTATTTGTATTTTATTTTAGAAAATGGCAGTAAAGTATGAAACTATGTATTATCTATTATGGCATGATTGATATGATGGAATGAAATTTCGTAGGAATGGAATGAATTGAATAATGGAATGATTATGGGAATGGAATGAAACATGTTTTGTCATTGATGCATTTGGTTTGCAGAAGGAATATGACTGGAATGGAATGACATTATCATTTTTTATTATAAAAATAGATAAAAAAAAAATTTTAAAAAAATAATATACTTTTAATAAATTATATATAAATACTTTTTTAATAATATATAAAAATAGAATAATATATTGTTTAATAATATAAAAAATAATATATTTTTACTAATATATAAAAATAAAATAATATATTTTATTTTTTAATTAATCAATAAATAAAAGTATGTTTTCAATTTTTTTATTTGAATTTTATTTTAAAATATTAAATTTTTAATAATATTTAAAAATAAATTAATATATTTTTAATAATATATATTTTTAATAATATATTTTTAAAAGTAATATATTTTTAATATATATAAAAAATAATATATTTTTAATAATATATATAAATAAAATAATATATATTTAAATTATATATAAATGTTTTTTTAGTTTTATTTTTATATAAGTATTTAATATATCTAATTAAAATATAAATAAAAGTAAGTTTTCAATTTTTTTATTTGAATTTTTTTTAAAAAATAATTTTATTTAATATATTTTAATCATGATTTATAATATATATTATATATTTATTTTTTATTATTATTTGTTAATTTTATTTTTTAAAAAGTTGATTCCTACACACATGGGAATGAGAAAACCTTCCATTTACTATGGAATGGTTAATCCCATGGAGATGGGTTTTGTCAATGGGACCTTCCTAAAGAATATACCAATCATGAATTAGGAATGAGTAAGAGAATGATCATTCCATTCTCATGTCATTCTTTCCTACCAATCATGCCATTAAAATATATAATTGTCTAACATTAAGCAGCTTTAATCCAAATATAAAAAATTACTTGAGAGACCTATGTTTATTACTTGACAAACAACACTTGAGTTTTTGTTTTTTATTTTTCTTTTGAAAAAAAGACAAGCAATGTGCAAGGTAATTCATATTTTCACAGTGCATTGTTAGGTAAACTGGTAAAGTTTTGTGAAAAATTTGTGAACAATTTTCACAGTCAACATTACGAAGAACTTATGAAAAAAGTTTAAAAAGTCGAACAATTTGTGAACAAAATGAGAGCCAAAATTAAATAGTACTTATACTTGATTTCAAGATTGAAGAAAAAAAAAAAATCCATGATTCATATTTCAAAAGAAATTCAAAAATATTAACAATAATTATTATGCTACTTTGTTGGTGGTGGCGTGGTGGCCTCCGTTATTTGTTGGAGGGAAAAAGACAAATGATATTATACATACCAAAAACTTATACTGACTTCAATTCAAGTGGGGTGTTTTTGCAACAGCATTTTCTTCTTTTTTCTTATCACTTTTTTTCCTCTCCCGTCTTGTTGAAGTGACATTTTTCCCGTTCCGTTTTAGCTCACTTTTTTATATTCTAAAAAGGTTAATATTTGTTTGAATATATTCTTGTTCCTTTTCACTTGTTTTCTGCTGAAAGTAGTATCTCACTTTTTTTT